CAACCTATAATCATACAGCGTGGGTAGCATATATATCCATTCGAATGGAGCCAGTGATACTCAGGACTTCACAGAAGTCTGAGAATCTTCTCTACCTTGAGCTGTCACAGCCTTATCCTACATTCAATACGTATCTACAGGGAATTGTCCAAGCATCTTACTGAGCATATACTATGACCCACAGTTAACACAAGATCCCCTTCTCATCAATTTCTAATCTGCTTAATGTGTTGCCTTCTGAGAGCAACAGTATTGAACAGAATAGAATAGAACAGAACAAGATTTGAGATACGTAATGTCAGGATCCTCAGAAGAGTTAATGTATTTATATGGTCACAAGTGGAAATCATGTTTTAGCTGCCTATGGGAAGCAGTCATAAGAAGCAATTTTGGTCACACGCAGTCAGTGGCATAGTGTGCTATAGAAGTCTGACAGATAAGCTGTGGCTAAATCACCCTTCCCAAAGACAGACTGTTCCATACTGAGTATTAGAAACTAAGGTTAGTTACAGAGTCTGCTCAAACATTTTAAGCACAGATGTGTGAGCTTAATAAATCAATAGCATACTTTACATAGCATATAGTATTCCTTCCCTTTATGTACAAATCCAAACTGAATTAGAGGTTTCTTGAAGAGCTTTCATCAGTGGTGTGTCAGTAATCAATGGGTAGCTGTTTGTGGAACAGTTAAAAGACTTCCTAATATGTTAAAAACACATTTTAAAATTGCAGAACCATAAAATTCCCCCCATGCTTAACAACTTTTAATCACATTTAGCTTTTAAGCTACTTTGTGTGCTAGTTACCTGTGCACAAAAAGGTAGTTTTTCCTGTAGCATCAGGCAGTCCCAACATATTTGACATTTCAATGCTGTCATTAAACTGCCAACAAAACAGCATTGTTTTAAAACCTGTGGTTTGTCTGTAATAAAAATAGTATTTTGGCATTTCTGTTCATTACTAAAGTAAATTATCTGCACAGTTGCTGGTACAACCACTTGTTTTCTCTTAACAACCTTAACAACCAAAATGATAAACTTTAGAGTGATTAAGGTTTCCTTTGTTTTTCTTTGTACTTCAGAAGTTTGAAATGTTACTCTAGCTCTTTGCTCTCCAGCTTGTAAACTGTAGGTATCGCTAGTAACTGGAAAATTCATGGAACTTTTCAACTGAAGTTAAATCAGGATTTTTCACTTTGTTTTTTAATCTTTTCCAACATATTTCCTTAGCAAGTTTGAAATTTAAAGAAAACAGGCTTTTATCTCCCCTCCATACAAAAGAAGAATTTGTGTCCTGACTCAACCTCTCTCTTCTCTGTACTATATTCCCCCAGTCTTTGCTGCAAAGACCGATGTCAACTAAAGTCTAATTTGATAGGAAAAGAGAAAGCTGTTGCTTTAATTTTCATTGCCGTTTTGAGGTTAAGTGTATCATTAATGTTTTACACATGCTAATTACTTTTTAGTATCCCGTCTTTACACATTCTTGTATTAGCATAACTAAAATTTTACAGTCACAGAAGCGCGTTTTTTGACGAGTATCTTTGATACATGATATGTTGTCTTCCAATCTGAGAGAATCAGAGGAGTTCTCACGTTTCTTTAATGATTTACCTTCGGGGTCCAAATTAACCTTGAAGTCACAGAAAAATTGTCCAGAACTACCGTGTGTTTGCAAGACCCATACAAAGGGACCCATTAGAAGCAGAAAACCAAGCTCACTTTTGTGTGGTTAGTCAGTCTTGTATTTCCCATACAATAAATATCCACAACAAAACTACCTCCACTAAGCATCAGATGAAAAATGTCTTTAAAAACTCCTTGACTTTATATCCTTGCAAAAGGCATGCAATTAGTTTTTAAGATGCAGTCTTTACAGGCATCAATACTATAACGATGGGACTATTTAAATGGAGGAAACAGAAGTGGGATGGCCTGTGGGAATCAGTGTTGCATATTAGGAAATTGTGGAAGTGACACACTGCAGAAAAGACTCTGTCTACTGAGATTCAAAATGACTGTGCAAGTTGGAACCAGAAATATTATAACTACTTGACTCTGTACCTTATTTCAGAGTACATCACTCTTCCACAAACCTGAAAAAGACGATATCTATACAGAGAGATCACAAACTAATTACCTTGTTAGAATTACAGATTACTCAGTTTTTAGAACTACAGTTCATATCGAGCCGCTTTTCCAGCTATTGCATATGCATGGATTGATATCCTGTATGCTTAGACTAACATTCTGATTTTTTTCTTTAAACCAGAACATAACCCTAACATAACTAAGCATTTTCCACAGTGCTGACTCCCTTTTTACTATTGCAAGAGTCTGTAGAGATATGAGGGACAGACTTCAGAAGAATCACCAAATCTTCACTTTCATCCCTGTATATCAGCATTTTAGCTCTGGAATTTACACAATGTGGCATTACAGAACTTCATCTATAGCTCCAAAGCTTCCTTTCTTCCTCCTTCCTAATCATCTCCTTATACAGATTAAAATTATCCTGTAGAAAGAATTCAGGAAACAGATTAATATAACATCATTACCTCATTACTGTTGAAAGCGTACGACAAGCTCCCCTTGCAATCATAACTGACACTTTTCTTTTACTGGGATGGAAAAATCTTTCCCTTATCTGTCAGCTGGCACTGATGTCCTTAGGCTAACATAATGGTATAAGTGCTATATAATCCCACTGCACACACAAGCCCTCTCTACCTACTGCTGTACCACCAGAGTAACTATCTGAATGTTGAGTCACACAAATCTCCGTAAGTCAAACCTATTTTTTCCAAAAATAAGTATAAACTGAACTCCATTATTCCTACTAATCACGATACAAAGTGAAGCAGTAAACACAATCAAAGATTAAGGAAAATTGTACAAATGCCTGCCACCTTTCACAGTTAAAAGAGCTTATACATATAAGCATTTTAATGACTGCCAGTCTATCAACTAATAGCCCTACTAAAAACGGATGACACCTAGTGAGCTGATCACCAAACAGGCAGAGCAAGAGCCACAGGTGAAGCCATCATTACTGCTTTCAGTAGTACCTGCACAGTAACACAGTACCTGAAGTAACAACAGATGATTGGAGCAGTTTTGCCTTTTAGGCATGACTCTATATATCTCATTGACTTTGTATGTTACTAAGGGTTGTACATTTCTAAAGGTTCAACCACAGATGACAAATTGACTAAAACAGCGCAAAAACCTCTATCTCAATTAGTCGTATCCAACAGTATTCTTAACAGATGGTGTTTATTCCATTCTTTCAGTCAGATCAGAAGTCTCAGAATTCATAAGAAGGATTCAGAAAAATCTGGCAGACTCATGCAACATGACCTAGAAAACTACTTGCCTTCATTCCCGATATGCAGAAAATGGCCAAAGTGCTGGTTAATAGCACCTTACCAGCCACTTCATTTCCCTAAAGGCAAGGAAGGAGAGGAAGGAGAACAAAAGAGAGAGAGCGAGGAAAGCTGGCATAGCCCAAGGGGTCGTATCGGAGAGTTGAACAGAGACAATAGGGCGAGAGTCAGAATCCTCTGGCCTCTAGGAATGCCAGACAAGATAAGAAGAGCCTCAAGATTGGAATTCATACACTGAGCCAAAATTAATCTCAGGGTTAGTCGGGTGAACAGTCGTCAGTTCCAAGTTGTACATGCAGCTGTCACATGAATGGGTCAGGAGCTACTGATAATGCTCTGGCTTTGCGTATGTTGTTGAGCCCCTAAACAGAGTAAGAACAGAACTAAAAAAACAAAATAAAATAGAGAAAAACCTGCAAATAATCTTAGTGTTTATAGCATATGCTTACTGTAAACTAGTACTTCAGTGGGATTTTATATTGTAAACCATTATTCACTGTGAGTAGAGTCAATTTACTTTTTTTAATTTGCATTTTCTAGTAAACATTTGCAGATTTTTATGTTTGGGTTCTTTCTAAATAAATTTCTCTCATCCAAATATTAGCCATACTAACAGCAGTCTTCTCAAATGGAATCAAACAACTAACTTTTAGAAAGTTATATTGAAAGTCTCTTTAGAAATAAGGTCTGTGAAACTGCAGTTGGTTTTAAACTAGTATTAAGTGTAATATTATACCACTGCATCACATGAATCAAAAAATAATTGGATTTCCTCTGCAAAATGCCCTGAGAAAAAAAATACCTTCATCACTGAAGTTACAGATAAGCCATCAAGTTTGAATTATTTTTTTACAGAAATTGCTCTATTTGACACAACACTTTTCTCTAGAGAAAATGTGTAAAAACTGTGACAAGTAAGTAAATATAGCTGAATTACAGATCCATCAAGAAAACCAGAAGAGCACTAACAATGCCTCAGGAAGAGAGAATTACCTTTACTGTGAGCAAAATATAGTACAATACTATACCAGGTAATTAGACCTACAGTTGTTTCACGCACAGTATTATAAAATGGTCAGATACCACACCATCATCTTCCAGTAATTATAATACTGAATTTATCCAGATTAAATCCTGAAGAGTAAGAAGTTAACCAAGTTACACACACATCTGATTTTGTTTCAAATTCCCTTAATAAATTTTATTACTAATCTCTGTTTCATGTTTATGAACTTTGTCTTAATTTTTCAGTAGATTAAAATCTTTTACCTCAAAAGGTACTACATCAGGGATATTTACATTATGCAAGATTTTCCATTCAAAGAGATGCATACCCATCTTACATGAGAACAAAACTATTATTAACACAACACTGACTTATGCACATAATATCATAAGTACAACTGCTGTAAGAAAGTCAGAAAACAACCAAACCCAAACCTGACTCTTTCTCCTATTAATAATAGTTCAAGAGCAGTTCCCCTTATAGCTACAGTGTGTTAAAGAGTATTTCATAACACTTTGTAAATATACTGGAGGAGTGATGATTTTTACTACCATTTATGGCAAAATGTAACACATGACATTTGGGAATACAGACCAGAACAAATTATCATTAGATTTTAAAAAGATTATTTTTATTAAGCACAAACAGCTTTTAATACATTATCAATACAAATAGGAAAACATCTGTTTAATGGATTTAATATATCAAAGATTTGATGGCAGGTTGCATACTGGCACAATAAAAATGATTTTTTTTTAAAAAAAAGTATTTCAAATTAAAATTATAGGGTCACCACTGTCTACACTGCAGGAACTTACCTACAGTCTAAAATTACTACATCACCTGGCCATAGAGGGAAGCAAAGAACTACAATTTCATAATATGGAACTCCTAACACTTTAATTAGCACCATTCAAAGCTTGCATCAGCTGTTTAACCGAGAAGCAGCTGACAGGTCAGATAAAGCTTTACAGCAAATTTCAGTGCAAAGTTTACAGTTCCTTTTCATAAGATACTTGGAATCTATGGTTTCATAGCATGTTAAATAATTATGGCTTGATAGATGTACAGTGTTAAGATGCTGAGAACATTTACTTTGAAAAATAGATGATACTTGCAACAGCTGTGAAATGCATTTTGATATATTATGCCAAATTCTGTAATATGCAAACAACATGCTGGATTACAAACTGAAGTCCTATTATGAATTTACAGACAAAGGTCAGTATTAGCTCTCTGGGGTAGTGGCTTCTGGTTGTCTCAGCTGCTGCTTTTTCAGGCTAACTAGCTTCATCTTCTCTCTAATGTGTTCTGCTGCAGAAGCCATATCACTTGGGCTCCCAAAGTACTGCTCAGACCTGGAAAAAAACCCAAACAAAAAACAAACAAAAAACCAAAACAAAACCCAAACCCAAAAGTTATCAGTGAGAAGCAAGAAAGTAAATGAATATACACATTAATAGCACTAGAAAACACAAAGCAGATAAGGAAAACAGGCACTTTTTTATCTTGACATTTAAAAGCCACCTTTAAAAGGCTTTGGAAGACTCAGTGATGAGACTTAACAGCAGATCTTGATAAAATTATTACAAATGCTAAAGTACTAGCATTTGTAATAATTTTTTTTAAACCCCAAAAATTCACTGAACAGAAGGTTGAGAGCAGTGAGGCACTGGAACAGGTTGCCCAGAGAAGTTGTGGATGCCTCATCCCTGGAAGTGTGCAGGCCAGGTTGGATGGGGCTTTGAGCATCCTGGTCAAGTGGAAGGTGTCCCTGACAGTGGCAGAGGGGTTGGATCCAAACCATTCTATGATTCTAACAGCAGGGTGCTGTTCTGTAAGTGCAACTAGATACTTACTATTTTTTTTTTTACCTCCCTTCTCTGGCTACCCCCCAAGTCAGTCTGTCAGTTTTAAGTACTATGACAATCAAGGAAATCTCTCTATAGATGTATTCTGAGGCTATACAATTGCTGCATTATTGAAGGACTCTGTGTGTGAAGTCAGCCACATGCTGTCAATTTATGTTACCTGTTTCTCAGACTGAAAAGAACACATGGCTGTGTAAGTTGATTTCTCCCATTCAAATACAAAAAAAGGAACAGCTGAAATGCTAGGGAAACCACTAAGCTGTCAGCAAAATGAGAACTGGAACAGAATACATGTTTCAGAAGAACAAGAAATGGAGGTAGGACAAAAGACTTCAGACAGAGTTGGTGGGGGACAGGCCTTAGCGGACAGAAAAGTTATTTTACACAGGAGTAGACTAGTTTGATTACAGAGCTCCAAAGACAACAGACTGCACAGCTGCACATGGAATCACAGCATGGGTAAATATTTTTCCTGATGCAGAGTAGGAGACATGAGGAGGACAGGGAACAGTGACCTGGTCTTCCAAGAAGATACTGACAAAAGTCCGAAGTGGTGAAGAGGGTGAAGATGACACCTCCAAGCATTTTGTGCCATTTTGTGTGTTTCTTAAACTATTCCTACTAATGAGTGAACCCTTTGTAAATTGTTTAATGCTTCAAAAATAGAATGCCTAGGGATGATGAGCAAGGGATCCTGGGATTTCAGACAGTTAAGATCTATCTTTTGAGAAGGGAGACACACGTAATTCTGCTGATATGCCAGAGGGATGAGAAACAATGTTCAGGATTCAGTCAACCTAAAATACAGGCATAGACATACCTATAGTTATAGGAGCATTATGTTAGGACTCAAACTTCAAAGTGTGCCAAACAACGTTTTATGGAGAGCTTTCCCAGGTTTTAATGTTTTTGTTTTTTTTTACCTTAATAGTCTATCTGCAAATGACATCTGTTTTATAAACAACAGCTGCTAGTTTTATCAGGTCACTGAAATCTGCTATGCAAAAATTAAATCAAAATACTTCAAAACCCACAAGACTTCTTGATCAGTGGCTTTTTTTTTTTACTTTTCTGTGGGTTGGTTTGTTTGGGGCTTTTTGTGTGTGGGGCTTTGTTTTTTTCCTCACTGCTATAAAGTCCTCACTACTTGTTCAGGCCTGTGTCCATCTCCCATGGGTAGCACTCCTTAGTGAAGGAAACTATACTGCATAGGGAACATGAGATTTTGGAAACAAGATGACAGAAAACTGATTTTCATGACCCGCTTCCTGTAACTGTATTTTTCAGATTGATTTTCTGAAGTCAATAAATGCTGTTGCCTGATATCATCTCACAATGTTTCAGCCCCTAATTCAAAATATTGATTTCAAATCCCATTCATTATGGTGTGGGATCCTACACACGGACAGCCTAGTTCCAAGGCTTGGTTATACCGAGGTAGAAGAAATTAACTATACACTCAGCATTGCAATGTACAAGTGTATTTTACTGAACATAGAAAACTGAGTTTTATTATGCACAGATTCCAAATTCAATTTGCTTTTTTAACTCAAGACAGCCACCAATTTTAAATTAGTATCAATAGTTCACATGGGAAGTACTGCTTCATTTGCTGAATGAATCAAATGTAGATTTATTTTTAATGTATTGGCTTAAAACTTCAGATGGGTAGAACTGCAAATAGATTAGTCAAAATACCATGACTCTAAACTCATCTTTTTTCAGGGAGAAGAGACTGGGACTGGTCATTCTTTTGTTGCTTTCACACACCTTGTTAGTGTAAAGACTGCATAAATCTAGTAATTACTGAATGTGAAAAACTCATTACTTTAAAACAGTGGGCATGCAGCCTTTGGAAAATTTGGAATTGGACCTGCCTGCTTTCTGTGAAAAGGTAGGAAAGACTTTTTAATGAGTATTAGCATGCTGCCTTTTTAATTTCAGCAATAAGCATTCAGGATTCTTCTGCATACAAGACTATTATGAAGCTTAACCAAAAGTATATTTAAAAAGTGTTAGAAAAACCATTCTGCATACCCATCAGGATAAACTACAGGCACTGTTAGTCTGTCCAATAGTGATTTCCCAACTACTTCAATTTCATCAAATTGCTCCGTGTCATTAAAAGCTTCAGGCTGCTCTGGACATTCTTCCAAAATCTATTAAAAAGAGGAAAAAAAAAAAAGGAAATACAGAGTAGAACACACAAGGGATAGCAGCATGCAGGGTTTTTCTTTTAAGTGCCATTAACTGGCAGTGTTAGTGCTCTTTAAGCATCTACACTGCCACATTTATATGAGATCAACTGAAATATTCGTACAATTCAAGAAAGGAAAATATTGATTAAGCTACATTGAGAAAATAGTCCAGGGCTACCACTGTTTTGTACTAGAACATTTTACATTACTCCTAAGGGAACAAAAATGAAAAAACAATCTTGCTAAACAATATTCCAGCAAAAAATATAAAGTGCATAAAAATAATAACCTGCATCATTAAACATACAAGACAGTCATATAAAAATCGAAGAAACATGGATAACAAGGGTCCCTTACAAGCTATTTCAAAACTAAAATCCACATCTGGCACAGAACAGGTAGGATTAAAAAAAATCTGAACACCAGTGTTTCCAGATAGGATGGAGACCCAATGCTACTTATTTCTGTATTTTCTTCCTCTTCTGCCTCCAACACATCTTACTTTTTTCCAAAGCAACAAAGATATTAAGAACGTATTTTCCTCACAGGCTCATGAATATGACACAATAGTGCTAGGACAATAATGTTTTTGAGTAAGAGCATTACTACTTCAGCCATCCATTTCCTTGTTTTAAACTTATGATTGCCTAAAACCACAGCAATTAACTACTGCAATAATGAATGAATGCTCACAATACGGACTGAGATAATTAACTCTTTCAGGAGTTTATGAACCACCAAATTCTAATTTGGTATCAAGTAAAACCTTTTTCAGGCACCTCTGGCAGCATAGATGACCTATTTCTACTGAAAGCAAGGAGCATATGAATCAGCTTTGTATGCTGAGAATGAATTTATTGCTAATGCGCAAGACTGGCACTTTTTTGCAGTTATATAAAATTTTGTTGTCAACATTAGAGATACATACACTAAACTGCTTTTCTAAAATGTATCACTTCACAAAAAGAATGGTTCCTGGATGAAAAGCCCCTACTCTCATGATTAGTATTAATGGATACTGTCCTGAATTCATGCATTTAAAAACTATCAACATTTTACCCCTTCAGCAAGCTGCTACCAAATAGCAACTATTTCTCAGAACTGCTGTTGAATATTCATCCTCCTCTGTGGCTTCTAGCATCATCCAACTGGGGACAGGGGTGAGATATTTGGTTTGAAAAACATACCAAGACAGAGGTATGCTTTGAAGAAAGCATGCTCAAAACCATTCAAGTGCAAAATGCAGCAACACAGCATACACAGAAATTAAACTGGTTGCATTCATTTACACGTACTCGAAATGCAGACATCTTAAAAGACAATACTCCTTTTAACTCTCCAAAACATCTTAAATGAGGCCATAACTTTGCATTATACCTTGCACAAAAGCACAAATCAAGAAGTGCTCCTTGCCTTTAAGAATTAGTCTAACACACACAAATAAATGCTCATACCAATGTAGGTATACAAGCAATAATTACATTAAGTACTGAAATTAAAACTTAGAAAAATATGCTTAAATTCTTCTTTCTGCATTTTTTTAGTATTTAGAAAAGGGGTATTATGCATTGACAACTTCATATTTGTTACCTTTCATTTGCTTACATTCTGATAAGAAATTTTTCTTCTTAAGAACATGACACTCACCTTTTCAGCACTTGAATGAAATGCAACAGCCGTTTCCAGCCGATGTACTCTCTCCTCAGAAGTTACTGTAAACTGCTTCCACACTCTGTTAAGTCTTGGAAGCGTGTCCCCCGAGGACCTTGAAGTGCATCGTAGGGACTGGCACAGGACCACAGTTGCCTGCAGTAACTGTCTCCCATAATCATAAGTACTCTAGAAGTTGGAGGGGATGCAAAAGCAAGTATAATATAAAACCTCTGCATTTAACTTAGGAGCTAATTAACAACTTAAACCAACAGCAGACAAGCTTATGAAAGCTCCAAAATACAGGTCCACTTTGTGGACCTATATTGAACCCTGTGGTCTACTAGAAAACATGGCTGAAGTATGAATAAAATCATAATGACCAAGCAACATATTTGCTCTTAAGGAAAAAAAAAAAAAAACAAAAAACTAAAAATAATCCTGTTGTCTAGCATTCATACTGGGAAAAAACCCAGCTTCCTGAAAACTCTGAACAGCTGCTTGCATCTACATGGAATTCTCAACATCTGCTGCAATTAGACTTTCCTAAATGAAGTACGCATCTGTAAAAGCACCCGAAAAAGGCTCAACTTGTACACTTTTTCTTCTTAGGTGACATTCATTCATAGGTACCTGGCATCTGTTTGCATAATCAAAATTTTCAAAGAGGTGTGTAAACATGCACTGTTGCTTCAGTGAATTTTAGGAGACTCTTGTACAGTAGCATTCATCAGCTGCCTGCTAGTCAAGAATTAAACCTGTCAGTTCTGTTCACACACTAGCTGCTAGTATCAGAATTCCTTGTATGAGCAAGACCATCATATATCAACACTCAAACATCTAGAAAATCATTACAAAGACAAGCTCTGTTTCATGAAGTACAGCACAAAACAGACTGAAACTAAGTGGCTTATCTGTATTTACTGCAGCTCTTCAAGAGACTATTTGAAATATATGTCTTTTAAGAAAATCATAGAATCACAGAATGGTTAGGGTTGGAAAGGACCTTAAGATCATCTAGTTCCAACCCCACTGCCATGGGCAGAGACACCTCACGCTAAATCATATCACCCAAGGCCTTGTCCAACCTGGTCCTGAACACTGCCAGGGATGGAGCATTCACAACCTCCTTGGGCAACCTATTCCAGTGCCTCACCACCCTAACGGGAAAGAATTTCCTTCTTATATCCAATCTAAACTTCCCCTGTTTAAGTTTTAACCCGTTACCCCTTGTCCTATCACTACAGTCTCTAATGAACAGTCCCTCCCCAGCATCCCTATAGGCCCCCTTCAGACACTGGAAGGCTGCTATGAGGTCTCCACGCAGCCTTCTCTTCTCCAGACTGAACAGCCCCAACTTTCTCAGCCTATCTTCATACGGGAGGTGCTCCAGTCCCCGATCATCCTCGTGGCCCTCCTCTGGACTTGTTCCAACAGTTCCATGTCCTTTTTATGTTGAAGACACCAGAACTGCACACAATACTCCAAATGAGGTCTCACGAGAGCAGAGCAGAGGGGCAGGATCACCTCCTTCGACCTGCTGGTCACGCTCCTTTTAAGGCAGCCCAGGATACGGTTGGCTTTCTGGGCTGCAAGTGCACACTGCTGGCTCATGTTCACTTTCTCATCGACCAACACCCCCAAGTCCTTCTCTGCAGGGCTGCTCTGAATCTCTTTTCCACCCAACCTGTAGCTGTGCCTGGGATTGCTCCGACCCAGGTGTAGGACCTTGCACTTGGCATGGCTAAACTTCATGAGGTTGGCATCAGCCCACCTCACAGCTTGGTGTCATCAGCAAACTTGCTGAGGGCGCACTCAATCCCACTGTCCATGTCAGCAACGAAGATGTTAAACAAGACCGGTCCCAACACCAATCCCTGAGGGACACCACTCATTACTGGTCTCCAGCCGGACATTGAGCCATTGACCCCAACTCTTTGCATGCGGCCATCCAGCCAGTTCTTTATCCACTGAGTGGTCCATCCATCAAATTGATGTCGCTCCAATTTAGAGACAAGGATGTCGTGTGGGACGGTGTCGAACGCTTTACACAAGTCCAGGTAGATGACATCAACTGCTCTACCCGTCCATCAGTTCTGTAGCCCCATCATAAAAGGCCACCAAATTGGTCAGGCAGGATTTCCCCTTAGTGAAGCCATGCTGGCTGTCACCAAGCATCTTGTTGTTTTTCATGTGCCTTAGCATACCTTCCAGGAGAATTTGCTCCAAGATTCTGCCAGGCACAGAGGTGAGACTGACTGGTCTGTAATTCCCTGGATCATCCATTTTCCCCTTCTTGAAAATGGGGGTTATATTGCCCTTTTTTCCAGTTGTTGGGAACTTCACCTGACTGCCATGATTTCTCAAATATGATGGCCAGCGGCTTCGCAACTTCATTTGACAACTCCTTCAGGACCCGCGGATGGATCTCATCAGGACCCATGGACTTGTGCACGTTCAGATGTTTAAGATGGTCTCGAACCAGTTCCTCTCCTACAGTGAGCCCAAGGTCTTCATTCTCACAGTCCCTGTGTCTGCCTTCCAAGACTTGGGTGGTTTGCTCAGAGTCTTTGCCAGTGAAGACTGAGGCAAAGAAGTCATTAAGAACCTCAGCCTTCTCCAAATCCCGTGTAGCCAGTTCTCCCGAGAGCTTCCTGAGGGGCCTACATTCTCCCTAGTCTGTTTTTTATTTGCTATGTACCTGTAGAATCCCTTCCTGTTATCCTTAATACCTCTAGCTAAGTTTAATTCTAACTGGGCCTTAGCTTTCCTAACCTGGTCCCTAGCTTCCCGGACAACATCCCTGTACTCTTCTGTCCTGGGTTCAGCAGTAGCAGTCATTTTTCTCCTTCTTGGTAGCTGGTGCAGTGCAGTGTTTTGACTTTCAGCTCGGGAACAGAGCTGATAACAAGGATGTTTTTGGTTTGGCCAAGGACTTTGTGAGCCTCATGCTCTGCCAGGGAGGAGGGGAAGCCAGGAGGAAGCAGAGACAGGACACCTGACCCAGGCTAGCCAAAAATGTATTCCATACCAAAGCATGTCATGCCCAGGATGTAACTGGGAGTTAGCCGGAAGGGCTGGCGGTCTGCAGGGTTGGAGGAGGTTATCGGTCAGTGCTTGGTTGGGCTGGGAGGAGCAAGTTATCGGTCGGCTGGTGGTGAGATGCTGTATTTTCTTCCCTTGTTATTTCCTTTATCATTGTTATTATTGGTGGTAGCAGTAGTGATTTGTGTTATACCTTAGTTACTAAACTGTTCTTATCTCAACCTGTGGGAGTTGCATTCTTTTCAATTCTCCTCTCCGTCCCTCCGGGAGTAGGGGGAGGGAAAGAAAGGGGGGAGTGAGTGAACGAGTTGTCTGACTGGGTTTAAACCACGACATCTTCCCACGCTGCCTGTCCTTGCTTCCACTTATTATAAGCCTCTTTTTTCATTTGAATTTTCCTCAGCAGCTCCTTATCCACCCAAGGAGGTCTCCTGGCCCTCCTACTGCACTTCCTTCTAGTTGGGATGCAACACTCCTGAGCTTGTAGCAGGTGATCCTTGAATATCAACCAACAGTCTTGGGCCCCCTGCCCTTCCAAAGCAGGTTCCTGAAGAGGCCAAAGTCTGCTCTTTTGAAGTCCAGGGCAGTGAGCTTGCTGCACGCTCTTCTCACTGTCCTGAGGATCTCAAATTGAAGCATCTTGTGATCGCTGCATCCAAGGCTGCCCTGGAGCATCACATTTCCAACGAGCCCTTCCTTCCCTGTTGGTGAGCACGAGGTCAAGCACAGCACCTCTCCTTGTCGGCTCCTCTATTACTTGCAGAAGGAAGTTGTCTTCTACACAATCGAGGAACCTCCTGGATTGCCTGTGCCGGGTCATACTGTCCTTCCAACAGATGTCAGGGTGGTTGAAGTCACCCATGAGAACAACGGCCTGTGAGCATGAGGCTTTTTCTATCTGTCTATGGAGTGCTTCATCCGCAGGTTCTCCTTCATCAGGCGGTCTGTAACAGATCCCCACAGTAATGTCTCCCATAGCTATATTCCCTTTAACCCTGACCCACAAACTCTCTTGACAGCTCACCTGTCCCCAGACAGAGTTCCATACTCTCCAGCCTATCCATAACATAAGGGGCAACTCCCCCTCCCCGCCTGCCAGGCCTGTCTTTTCTAAAGAGCCTGTAACCTTCCATTCCAACACTCCAGTCATAGGAGCCATCCCACCGTGTTGCTGCAATGCCTATTATATCATACCTCTGTAGACGTGCACACATCTCTAATTCCTCTTCTTTGTTCCCCATGCTATGGGCATTTGTATCGAGGCATCTGAGCCGAGCTCCAACTGAAGCCAGCTCATTGGCTGGAGCGGCTGGGATATCTCTACATTGCTCCGAGCATTTATTATAGGTTCTGGCAACTGACTGGGTGTGTTGGGATGGAATGATGCCCCCCTCCCCCAACACATCTAGTTTAAAGCCTCCTTGACCAGTCTGGCAAGCCTCCTACCAAAACTGCTCTTTTTCCCTTCTTTATCAGACCAGCTCCACCAGCCCCCAGTAGACCTGGCCTACAAACTGGGTCCCGTGTTCAAGACACCCAAACCCCTGACTATGACACCACCCTTTTAACCAGTTATTAACCTGGCCAATCCTCCTAGCTTTTTTTAGGTCCTCCCCTGTATCCTGGAGAATTGACGAAAAGACAATCTGAGCTCCAGAGCCCCTAACCACCTCCCCCAGGGCTCTGTAGTCCTTCTTTATGTTCCCCAGGCTACTACCATCTATATCCCTAGCACCCACATGTATCACCAGAAGTGGGTAATAGTCCGTGGGACTTACTAGAGCAGGCAGCCTCTTTGCCACATCCCTGATCCGTGCCCCTGGTAGGCAACACACCTCCCTTGAGACAGGGTCTGGCTGGCAGATGAGTGCTTCTGTCCCTTTCAGTGTAGAGTCCCCTACTACTACGACCCGCTGCTTTTTTCTAGCGGCACCAGTAGAGATCTTCTTTACCAGTGCATCAGCCGGCTGTTTCTGGCTCGAGTGCATTTCCTCATTAGCCCCCTGCAGGACAGCAAAGCGGTTCTGCGTGGGGACAACAGATTTAGGGGGAAGCCCCTTGCTTTTGGTTGTCCTTTTCCTCCCTTTTTTTTTTTTTTTTGTCACTAATTCCCAGCCTTGCAGGTTAACGGCCTCCTTTCCTTCGTGAGCTACAGGTGAAGCTTGAGGCCCCTGCACAGTTTGGGCCAGGGGCAAGCATTCCTGCTTCCCCTCAGCTTCCCTGACATCTCGCAGTCTATTAACAGCATCCTGCAGCTCAGCCCCTGCTGCAGGAGGACCTCCACCAGGGAGCACCAAGTGCAGCCCTGCCCATTGTGCACCCTCCCCTCACCAGACCAGTGCAAGCACTCTCTACACCCCGAGCTCTGCACTGCAGCCTCCCCTCTCATCTGCTCTGTCTGGGTGCTGACGCTGGCCACCGTGAGGGCAGCCAGAGCAGAGCTCCCAGACCGGGCCCTGGTCATATGATGAGTGCTCACCATCCCGCTCGCCTGCCTGCGCAAACTGCCTCGACCTGCTCTGTTTGCCGCACTCCCTGGGGCAGGTTTTTACCCAGTCAGGGCTGCCGCTGTTCCTCCTGGCTCTGCCCCCTGTGAGTCAGCTGCTCGCGTCAGCTGAGCTTCCAGCTCCTGGGCAGGTCCTGTTGAGGACTTGAGGCTCCCTCGGTGGCTCTTGCCGATGTGAACTTAATGTTTTGTGGTTTGCACTGCCCATGAGAACTAAGGTAGTAAACTGCAGCACTGCTACTGTTGGTAGAACTTCAAAAATCTCCCTGGACTCATCACCAATTCCAGCAATCACAATTACTTCATTCAAGCACTGAAACAAACCATTAAGACTAATAACAGCTGTTCCATGATCGTTCACACCAGTACCAATTCTATTTAGGAGTCTTCTGAAACTGTACAAAACCCATATAGCTAAAAAAAACTCATTTCACCTGTGCAACATCAACAAATTTTCGATGTTTCTCCAGTAAAACTTTTGTTTCTTGAGCATCATCTCCCAGTCGGATATGTGTCTTCAGCAGAGCATCCAACAGCTCACTTAACCATTCTACTGCCTGAAAAAGAGAAGTTAGAAGAGTAAAAACTAGAAAATAACAAAAAATAAAAAAAATAATCCAGAAGGCTGAAGTAATTCCAGTACTAGCATATACTCTTGATACAGAAAAAAGTTCACAAAGATATCTCGGAGATCTCAAAGATCGCAAAGAAAGATCTCAAAGAGATCTCAAACTGGTAGTTCATGCATGCAAATCACCAAGTACTCTTGCAGTCATGGCTACATCCTTTATTTTCACCGTACATATTCACTAAATATGACTATATTTGAAAGTGACAAAAATAACATTGTACAACTACCAACCCCCATAAATTTAACCAGTGAAATACCAGGATGATGCAATTTTGTAGACATTTCCATACCTGAGCAGCATCCTCTTCACATTTAAATAACTGTACCATCTGAAGCATCTTCAGTCGCCGCACATCCACCATATCTTCACACCTAGAACAGTAGCACAAAAAGACTCGCCAACACATATATAGCAGACATAATACACAAAGTTTGACAATGGTTTCAGAGAGCAGTCTGAAAGTGTTCATGAAAAGATGATTAAAGCATTTTTGTGCTGCTTATCTTGGCCAAAATATATAATGCCTCACATAATAAGAACAGGCAATAAATAGAACTGATCACTACAACCCACAGAAATCATGACCCTCAAGACTCCGGAAAAGGTTAAGCTATAGATAGCAATACCAACAGTAGCTAGAAGGCCTTACAACCACACTTAAGATTTCTTACCTTGCTGCACTTGTACAATTTGCCACACAGATGTTTACATGGCTAAGATGGACTCTACCCTACCACAGCCTAGGTGAAAGAAAGCTTACTTAAACCTGGCATGACTCTGAATTGTACTCTGAGCTGTCAGCAGTTTCTTGGTGAATAAAATGAAGACTTTTAAAAATATGTTAATACATTTTTCCATTTTTCTTTTTAGCTAAACTTAAGATTGCAATAGTTGAACCTTTATACGATGATGCCCTTTACTACAACATGTCAGGAAGCATTTCAAAATCCACATCTTGTAAAACCTAGTTCTAATCCTCTTGTCCTATATTATGCACATTTTCCAGTTTTCTAGTTAGAATTAAGAGTAGTATTGAAAGTTCTTTTCACAGTGAGAGTTAAGCTAATGCATTTAGCAGACTGACCCTTCCACTCCAATTTCAGAGCCTGCTAACTAGACAGCAAGATTCCAGATCCCATCCAGCGCAAAGGAATTAGTATTGTCAAAACCAGTTAGTACTATAAGTGAATGCAAAAACCAGTATACACACATCTGTTTTTTCAAGCTAGTTGCAAATACAAGCACAAATACAAGAGCATGCTACATTCTGCTACATGTCCCATAGTGCTGCGATCCTTACAGAAAGGAAAACTGTTGCTCTAAAATTTCAGGAAAACAAAGTATGGGTTCCAGAAGCATAACTAAATCAGAAAAATACCCCTAGTAATAAACATTATACTACGTGTGCATGAATAATGAAAAACATTCAACAGAAATTGAAAAAAGTGTCACAGAAATTACTATTAAATGCTACCAGAAGACAGTAATCCTTATTGTACCTTTTTGCCTCTTGTCCAGGCTAAAGAACCTTGTTTAATCATTCATCATCTGGAAGCTACTTCATACCTTTGATGAACATTTTATCAACTTTTTGATCCTCTAATTGACTTCTCACAATTCCATATTCCTTCTGAGAATAGGGACCAGGATTGTGTTAACACACAGAACAGACTACAAATCTATACAGTGACAATAACATTTTCCTTTTAGTTTCCTATTTATTTCCTAATAATCCTTAGTGTTGTACTGGCTTCTCACAATATGACTGAACATTAAAGCAATTTTTGCAGAAATTTTCCAATGTTTATCTGAGAGTTAACAGATGGTTCAGAGTCCATTACTACGTTGTCTTGGTTTCAGCAGTAGCAGTCATGTTTCTCCTTTGTGGTAGCTGATGCAGTGCTGTGTTTTGACTTCCAGCCTGGGAACAGTGCTGGTGATACCGATGTTTTCAGTTGTTGCTAAGTGATGTTTACCCTGACCAAGGACTTTGTGAGGCTCATGCTCTGCCAGGGAGCAGGGGAAGCCGTGAGGAAGCAGAGACGGGGCGCCTGACCCAGGCTAGCCAAAGAGGTATTCCATACCACAGCACGTCATGCCCAGGGTCGGGGGTAACTGGGAGTTACCCGGAAGGACACGGGCTTCTGGGTGGGACTCGTTTCTTGGCCGGTGGTATTGTATTCTCTTCCCTTGTTATTTTCTCTTATCATTGTTGTCGTTGGTGGTAGCGGTCGCGATTTGTGTTGTACATTGGTTGCTGGACTGTTCTTGTCCCAACCCACGGGAGTTGCACCCTTTCGATCCTCCTCCCCGTTCCTGCGGGGAAGGGGAGAGACCTGGGGGGGGGGGGAGGTTCAATTGCTCTCAGCCCGGCACCACTCACTGGGAGTGAGTGAAGAAGCTGTCTGGCTAGGGTTTAAACCACGACATACGTATATAAAGTTTTCCCTTCTCCCATGTGCATTTCTTCTCTCAGCACCGAATTCCAGCTGTTCTTTTATTACACTGTGACACATGTTCTTCTATAGCTCTTCACAGTTGGCACTCTGAACACAAGTGCTGCTCAAGTAAATAAGATTCAGAGGACATACTTAAACCAGTACTTTCTCTAAGCATTACCAAAAAACATGGTTTCTTATAGAACGAAATCCTAAAAAGAACAACTTGATGCTCATTAGACCTTGTGCTCTCTTGAGGTACCTTTTTGTTCAGGCATTGCCCTCGAAGTTCATGCACTTGCTAGAGAGAGTACTTTATTGTTTTAGGGGTTCCAGCAGTAATAGTAAGCAACATCATCTGACTTTTCCACACTACTGAGTGGGGAAAAAAGGTAGTACTATAGCTAATCCAGTACTACAGCTAATCCAGTACTACTGCATCTTTAAGAAGGGAAAAAAAAAAGTTATATAAAATATGTGACCTTTCAGAACACAAAAAAATTATTAGTAGAACTGTTATTACCTTTGTTTTCTAAGCTGCATATCTTCCATCACTCCCTGGATATGGTCCACGTTTTCTTTGTTTTCAATGGTCACATCTTTTCCATAGGCCCAGGATGCCTGATTAGATATCTGATCAAGAAGACTTTGACCCTTCTCACGCAAGCCTTGCAAGCCTAAGTCTAAAGAAAAGTGTAGAAAAAAGAAAGAAAACAGAAGTCAGTGGTCACTTTTATAAATTTGGAGGGTTCTTCCCCCAGGGAGATGAAATACAACAGAATCTGAGATGGAAAACTAGAAACTGAAAAGGACACTACTACCTTTCAGCTCCCTTTCCAACTTTTACACTTGAGTGAGCATTTGTCTATAGCAACAAAAAAACAAACACTTCGCTATTTTGTGACCCAGCAGATAATAAGGAATAAAAGCTGATAGTATTTTCAGCAAATTAACTAGCTAATTAATGTATTTCATCCACACAGTTGTACAGTACCCAAAATATTTATCACTGCTAAGCAGCTGTAGCCTAAATGTTCTTCCATGGCTGGCAGAAGTCACTGCTTTACAATACATCCTACACGGCTGATATGTTTTTCTATACTGAAATGCACCAAACCTTAGAATCTGCTGCTATTTGGCAGTTCTACGAGCTCTTTTCTGAAAGGAGTATCTAGTTTATGCATTGAACTGTTATACTGCTATCATAACTACTTCTACCATATATCAATTATTTTCCTTCAAAGCTCTTTCTCCCACAACATACTGGACTAGATGATCATTGTAGGTCCCTTCCAATTGAAATACTCCATTTTAAATGCCTGACGGTTTAACCACCTTAAATGTGCTATTCATTAAACATATACATTCAAGGCTACTGCAAAACACTCAGTACAAGCATTCTAAACCTGAATGAATAACAATCAAAAGGTCAACCGTGGAGAGAAAAAGATCACCTAAGCACTATATTCCCAAAATACGAAGGGTGACTAGTGGGGGAAAAAAGTTTGACCACAGATGATAATGGTGGTATAACATATTACATATAAAACAGCTAAAGGAAAACATTTCCAGATTATTTTCCCAGATAGAATTTCTATGCAGTAGATAGCATAAGCAAACTAAAGGTAGCTAGGTGGATCATTACTTAGCTAGAAGGTGGAAGAGTGAGATATTTTTTCTGCCTTTTCTTTTTTTAAGGTGGTGGTGGGGTTACTGTTGTTTTTTCCTGTAATGCATTCATTAGAACGTGTGTATCTGAAATGCAGAAATATTTGGCTTACCAACACATTTCAATTTCTCTTCCAATAGTTTCAAAGTTTGTTGAATTGATGCTCCATCTGCTGGCGCTACATCTACACACAACATTCCTAGTAAGCCATCTAATTGCTGAGACAGCTAAAACGAAAAACAAAATAAATGTGGATATTTAAAAGAAGTTTGAGCTTCAGATGACTTGGTCTGCAATCTTCTAAATATGTGAAAGTCTATCATTTTAGACACTTCTCTTTGCATCTATAGGAAACGAAAGTCAAGATGAAGGCTAAACAACTCATCTGCCTATAAAATTCCAAAAGCACACATACCTAGATGAGGGGGAGGGGGAAAGTCTAGGTTTTTTTTTTTTTTTTTTGACAAGTATAGGAAAGGAATGCATGCCATTTTAAAAGGAAACCATAAAAAGTGTACCACATGGTGGTATACTCTAATTTATTAAAAAAAAGAAAATGAAAAAGCAACTTTTAAACTAGAAACCATTTTATTTCAAACATTGTTGAAATGTAAGACTTGTTAGAAAGCACTTCCATCCTAAACAAAGGGGAAATACATCTCAGCTTCAATTACAGTAAATTACTTGCAGCATTTTCCAAGTGAGATTATATTTCCTCCCACTCCCCTGAATTTTTTCCTATGTATTCAATATTGATAATACTAAGGCTAGAATGTACTGACAGGAGAGCTTGAGAAATTTTAAAAATTAAAACTTACATCCTGGGCAACACTGTGGAATTCAAGTGCTGCTTGTAATAGATTCTGCCTGAATTCCAGCTGACTGGCCTGCCGGTAACACACATCACTCAGCTGTTGCTGCAATGCTTTTAATTCCACAAGGTCTTCCTCATCTCCTGCATTTAGAAGAGCTGCTATCTGCTGATTAAGCTCAACATAAACTGCAAACCATTCCTACAAACACAAAAAAAGTAAACGTTAAAATAATACAAAACAAAGATCTATTTCTCTTACAGTAGCATACATCCAACTGCAGACTAACAATCAGACCAAAAAAAGGAACTTATTACAGCTTACACTATAATTATGAATTCTCACACAGAAGGAAAAAAAACATTTCTTAATTTCAAATCAACTCAAAAAGAGCTTAGAACATTTTAATACATGCACTGCAGTATTAAGAAAATGTTGCAGAAAGAGAGGAAGATTATGAGGCATGGCTACTAGCTCCCAGCACTAACTCCCACTCAAACTATTTTACTGAACCAACAAACGAATTCCACCATTTTTAAATAAATTTATAATGCTTACATTTCTATAGTGCCCTACTGAAACAAGAGACCTTTTGCCAAGTGGTAAGCTATTACAGAAAGCTGTTCATACAACTTCCTAGGTGTTACTTTCAGTGACGTGACTGAAACCAGCAATAGTTTTCTTAAAGCATTCAGAAAAAAAAATACTACTGCTAACAAAGTGGAAGCAATCACTATCTTCTGAATATAAGAAGTTCAAAATATCTCTTGCTTCTTGTTTAAGGAAAGCTTTATACTACTCAATTCAAAATGTAGCTTTGTTTTTCAAATACTTTGATTAGTGAGTAGATACAAAGGAGTTTGCTCTGTTGTCGTGGTGTATTCGTAAAAGAAAAGAGTTCAAGTATTTAACAATTCTAGGAGACTTAAAAACGACTTGATATATCAAGATCACATTCACATCTTGCATGACCAAGATGGCTGTAAAGTAAAACATGTTTGCTCAACAGCTTTTAATTTAGCCTACAGTGAAACAAACTTCAAACACCCTATGCATTTCTAGTGCTATGGAATAGCACCATCTATTGGCCTAAAATATCTGATTTAATTAGTACTCTTGTCATGCTCCTACTGGGATATTTGCCTTTTTTTTTTTTAAATTATGCCTTCAGCTTTTGCATCATTTATTTACAAAGCATGCAAAATATGGAGTATAAATATCCATATTCTGAAAGGGTTTCTTTTTACCCAAAGTCACCTCTACCATCTGCTCACAGGAAGAAACAGAGTATTAAAAGAAGGGGGGAGAAGGGGGAGGGAAGAAGAAGTCATGAAAAAGTTAAATCAGCAGTCAGCCAAAAATTTAAGACCTGAATCAACCTTTTGTCTATTCCAAAAGGGTCAACTAAGATGACATAGTATGGAAATATTCCATTGTCACACATGTACTATACAGTTTCAATCAACACAGCTTACACGACTCTTATTTCCTTATAATTTCTTATTTCCTTCAGACACTGAACATACAAATTCAGCTTATTAAGTGTGACAAGTGAGAAGTCAAACCAAAAAATCTAGATTAATAATTGCTAGTTTTCATTTTTAGCTTTTTTAGCTTTCATTTTTAGTTTTTCTAAAGTACATCAGAAAAATTATAAACCAGTGAGCTATTTTCTTTGCCATGACTGAAAAGGGAATGTCTACATCCAGAAAAGTCAGAAAAGAAGAAAAGCGCTGTAAGCAACACTGCCTTTGGAGTACTGAGTATAATATACTCTTCTTACTCAACACAAAAACTTAAGAACTACTGTAATGTAATATAAACCCAAGAAAAATAACAGAAATGAGTATTTTTTATACCAGAAAATAAAGTAACATGCACATGTAATGGTCATATTAAGTTCTTAAACTTCTCTCTGAAATCCATAAAATCATGCACTATTCAATTTTTCTAGATACTCAGAATCGAAATACATTGTTCATAACTGCATGTACTTAGGATTATTTTGCTACTTGAAAAGGGTACAGAAAATCTCACACTGTGCTGACTCTCAATTTCTTCATGTTTCTGTTGTAAAGCTTGTGAAGCTCTAATTGAATCACCTATTCCCCACTGGGTTCTTAGCTGTTCTGATCCAGGTCCTTCAAGCCAGTTGACTACCTGTCAATAAAATAAAGGTAACAAAAATAAAGTAGCAAATCAATCCCATGAAAACTGTTATAAGAAGAAATCTGTAATTTAAGCAGAAGTATTTCAAAGTATATATTTATGCAAAAGAAAATTAGGATCTGTAGAAGTCTTGTTTAATCCATTCACATCTTCAAAAGCTTTAAGTGAACTACTTTTTATTAACTTTATCAGTTTCATGAAAGCTGGTAACAGCTAGCAAAAGATTTGTCACACGTTTGTCATTTCTTATATAAGTCAATAAAAGAGCTTAAACCAGAGTTTTCTTGATAACAGGCCTCTTGTGTTCAAACAAGATTTTTCTTTTTATTTTTGCCTAATTACAGTGTACAGCTGTATTCAACCTGACAGCTCAGAGTTTTTTCCTTACTTTGTATGTAAGTACAGGATATGTACTTATTCCAAAATTATTCCAACAACTTAGTATGGTATATATTTATGTCTTTCAACTTGCTCTATTCAAATAACAAAAGCCTCTTACAAATTCTTAGTGGTCACATCTCACGAGATCTACTTTTGCAGAAAACTCTGCAGGGTCATGGCAATACAATTTTGGACCACAGTACTGGCTTTCTATTATTACTATTATTAAGCTATTTCATTTGATGTAAATATTTTTCAAAGCAAAGCATGGTATCTCTAATTTTTGTTTCCTTATATACACTTCAATTATCAGATGATATCCATGGCAATATTTTTATTATTATTTTTAAGCATCTAGAACCTAGTGCAAAAATCACTTACTACTGTAGTCCTGAAGCAAGGAAACGTAGGAATACCCCCACATTCTGAACCTTAATGAAACAGCATAGGAAGCCAACTTCCTCTCTTTAATGTGACTTTTGTTAAACAAAGATGACAAAACAGTTTCACACAGTTTTTCAGGAAATATCGTACAATACACAATGTAACACCATAACCATGAAGACAAATAATACCTTCCTAGTGCTGCTAGGCTACATCGCAACAGTAATCAAGAATGACCATCACCAATACAGGTTACTCAAAGGTTACACACCTTTTAGCTATCATGCTTGTGTCTTCCCACCCTCTTCCCCCCCCCCCCCCCATTACTCAAAGCGCTGTTTCAGGGCATATACTCTTTGCTCTATAAGCATCCTTAGTCTTCCTTACTTTTACCATTTCTAGGGCAAATTAAGACTACCATTCCAGGCTCTTTTTGTTTAAACAGAAACTTCTTGTTGTCTTTAGACTTCAGCACAGCTGTTGTTAGTTCAACATGGAATGGACCTAGAGGTGAAGGCACCCAGATGTCCTCCCATAACCTCACTGGCCTGGAAACTCACACATGGAAATAACAGTTCTTATGCAAGTCTGAAACAGTGACTAAGACCACCTCCCCATTAGAAGTTTCCAGCAACTACCACCTTGCCTCTAAAACTGGTTAGCTTAGCACGTGGTGATTCTTGTGTAACAGATACTTGAGAAAAAAGTGATGTTATTTTCATAAAATATATCCTTAAATGGTTAATGACTAGACTACTGCAAGGCCTGATGTTAATTTTTGTGAAGATCAGAAAAATACCAACACCTCTGCTTAAGGAGGCACAAAGCTAGGATTTATCATAATATACAGAGTTGTTCATCAGCAGTCTGTTCAGTAGAACTGCTCACCAGATAATGCCTGGAAATTGGAGCTATCTTGGCACTGCAGAATGAAAGATAAAGGAAAGGGAAACAAAACTATGGAATAGAATTTAAGAGGGGTAGTTAAAAAGAGAGGGTATGATACTGAAGCTGCAGGGGAAGAGAGGTGGTTATGGATAAGAGGGCTTTGAGACAGGGGTAAGAACTAAGCAGTTCACAGAAAGCAGAAGCCTCAAATGGTGAAAATTAAAGAGGAATACAAGAGCAAGCCAGGAGCGATTAGTAATATAAGCAGCTATACAAAAAGCAGGAATGTCGTTTTAATGAAAGCTAACAGGAAAACACTAAAAAATAAAAAAAAAAAAACCACACCAAAAAAACCCTTTCAAACACCCATTCCAGCTGAAAATACTGCATGTTGTACTGCAACTTTGGTTTACTTTGGCAAACTAAATTCACGGCACTTTCAATCTATTTGTTTCTTATAGTCCATAATTATCTTCTTACTTTTGTCTGTTAGCCTAATTTTCTCCCATAACAAAAAGGAAACTAAATCAGCTTTTAATTTCTAGATTTGTTTTCCCCATATACTCATAGGGCACTTAGATATAAATGCACTTCATAAAACTGATCAGTTGGGTAGAACAGTGAAACACATTTTTCCTCTGTACTGAGACTCAGTTCACTTACTACACACCTTCCATTGCACAGACAGAGTAAACAAATAACTACTTCTTATACAAATACTGCAAAATGAGGCTAACAGCCTAGAAAAAAGTCCATTTAAATGCATTAACAATGTCAACCTGCCAAAGTACATTACAAATTTTGTTTCAATTGGCATATCTTACTCAACCACTCTAACACAGGGGAAAAGAAAAGTCTCACCCAATTATACAGACAGCCGTGCTAGCATGTTCTATATAATACTATTTTCATATCTTACATATTTTTTATTTCCAGTTCAACATATCAGCATTTGGGGTTTTTTTAATAATATTCTCAGTTACTACATAAGTGATTTTTTTTAATATTTGATAAATAGTCTAATAAAATTATAAGATTCGAAGTGAAAATTTCCTCAGTAGATTTATATTTTCACTGTAAAAATAACAAGACTGATTAGTTTTTATCTCTGCCCATACTTGGAACATTGTGAAGTGCAAGTACTTGATTTGTACTCCTCACACATCAGAAATGTGAATGTTGAAAGGTTAAAAGCAACATCCATTCCATTTTCTGCATAATCAAACTATACAGAAGCTTAAAAACATGCAAGTCTAATTTCAAGCAACAAAACATGAGGAATACATTAATTCCACTTCCTTGATTTTCTTTACCAAGACTGCTGAAAAAATTTTGAAAATGCTAACTATATGCCTGTTTCCAAAGTACCAAACCAGCAGTACACTGCCACAGCATACAACAAAGGGACAATAGGAAGTTTCTTCAGCATGATGGCTGAATCACCTCCATGTACAAGAATAGCCTGTGGAAAGTCACTCCGGTAGCCACAATGCAAAGCATCAAGTAAAACTAGCACATTGCGGTTTGAGAGGTGAAAGGAAGCATGAAACTCTCACCTCTGAAGCTTTACTTTTGTAGGAAATGCAATCTAGGACTTCAACTCAAACCTCTGCCTCGCAGTATACAAGAACAACTCCATGCTTACCTGCATTACCTTCTGCTGAATCTCCTCTAGTTGTGTACGCTTGCTACGTTGTCTGCAAACTTCCTGGTAGCGGGTATACTGCTCTCTGAGTGAATCTAGGAGCTTCATGACCTGTGGCTGAGCAAGTAGTTCATCATCCATTGGAGACCAGGATACCCCTCCATCTGAACCATTGAATCGACGCTGTTGTAACTCTGATAGTAACTCATGACCTTTAAGAATACATATAGTGATGCAGTTAATTTAGCAAAAAAAAACAAGCACAGAAGTTATTAGTAAGCATGCTGGCTTTTAGACCATCCAATGGTACATTTTTGCAGTTAATGCCCTTTCATGTACCAGGCACATTTAATGATACAACTTCATGCAGAGCATAGGTCAAACTTTGTGGTGTTGTATCAGTCATTAAAAATGCTACAAATCACATGTTATATTTTACATATATATAAGAGATACAATAATTAAAATTGATATTAAAATAGTATTGATTAATGTAAAAAAAAACCTTCCACAACATAATCCTGAAGCAACTGTATTCTGTTTTACTTCAAAATACTGCGCAGAATCCTACTTATTTCTCTCAATTCATACTCTTAGATGACATGGCCTAGAAGCGCTAACAAACTGAGCATACAGTATCTCTGTTACCTTTCAGGATTTTTATAGCAAGTACAAAACTCATAGAAAGTGTGGAGCTGAACACTAAGTATATTGATTAATGTTCTTTTTTCTTACTTTTCTTACATTTTTCTGTGCACAGACTCTCTAGAGTGTAACAACTTTCACAGATGCAAATATAGTATGTTTTGACTATTTAATCCTTTGTTTAAATAGTTTGAAGAATGTTATTGTTAAGATGTGGTAAAGTTTTCACGATGTAAACACCATACTACCAGAAAACCCAGATCAATTTGTTCCCCAAAAGCTCAATGAACAAGTCGGCAAATAAAACTGCGCTCGGTCACTAAATAAATAGTGGTGTAAAAGTGAAAATCTATCTCATCAATTCTGCAGGTCTTAAAATGGTAAGGTGCCAGTGCACCAAAAGGAAAAAGTACCATTAGAATAGTACTTGTAATACCTCAAGGAAGATGCAGAAATATAGTATCTAAATTCAACTGGTACTATCTAGACAATCAAAATGCCAGGGGGCTTTGGCGATTGCAGCAAGCAACTTTAAATTACTCAGTATATATTATTTTGAAACAAACGTCTTAAAAATTCAAATACATTTTGCCATACTAGAGAAATAAATATCTCAGATTTAATCTTTTATTCTATTACAAAGATAGGCACAGATAGCTGCAGAGCAAGCAGATTTTAAAGTTTTTACAAGTCATAGTTCTACTGGGATGATTTTAAATTTTTATGGCAGTCTTTCAGCAGTAAAGAAACATTTTCAAGGTAAAAACATTTTTAAATCTAAGTAACATAATGTAATGTTCTTGGGGGCCATCTGCTTACAGAAAATTGAAGTGCTATTTTGACCAAAAATCTCACCATTAGAGGAGGATACACAATTAGATTAAAATCTAGTGACTGTGTCTACAGACACTTCATACTTTAAAGACCACAGCAAGGAACAACTGTTTCACCTTTTAACTCAAACAATATTATCCCACACAGAAATAAACTAGTTTTACACAGAGGGCGTATAAAACTAGTAGTTCTCCAAGGAGAATGTTATCTGTGACCCACACACTGGTTTGTAGGAGGCTGTCAGATAAGAATTCTTAGCACTCAGACTCTGATCACCACCTTAACACTATGCATTACTTCCTATTCTACAAAGGCACAAACCTTGCAACAAATTTCTAGTCCAAATCAGTCTGTTATACTTGTCAGTAAGAAAATCAGCATAAAAAGAAAAAAAAAAACAATTTCAATCAAAGAACCACAAAATGTTTAATGCTGAAGGGAGAGTCTAAGTAGCAGAGTCAGGAGACTGCGTGCTTCACTTTCACAGACAGCTCAAAACTAGGTTGGATGCACATTATCAGAATTGTGTTAGAAAATGCTATCTATATTACATGCATTTGGTGGGCAATAAGACCATTTTATAAGGCCAGCATATTGACATCATCTAGAAACAATGTATTCTAAAAATTGAACATGTTAATTACGGTAATACTGTAAAGATGTTATTAGCATTATTAAAAACTGTATTTAAAATGCATCTGGAGATCTTCCATTTATTTCTTAACACTTTTTTTAATCCTACAAATATGACATTAATTGATAAGCTTGTTACATTGTGATGATGACAAAGATAATTATTGTACCCTCTGTGCTTTCACTCAGCTTAAAAATAAATGTTACTATTGACCATTTTTCAACTTACTATACCTGTCTGCAATACGGTCTCAGGGTCAACTGACGGAAGGAAGTTCAAATCTATTGATCTTGAGAAAAGGAATGAACACATTATTAGTGATAATAAACATAATAAAGTAACAAACACATTATTAATAATTTGCATTACACTAGCACTAAAAATTTTAACTAAGGGCAGAGCTACCTGATACTGTTAAGAGACCATCTGTTTTCTTTCCTCACCCAGTAAAGCCCTCACTTTTTCAACTCCTATCAAAACACAAGTACAGCTTCCTGTACTTGAGAGCCAAATTAGCATCCATCTACACACACACACACACACGCACAGGTGAACTTTGTAGTCTACATTACAAACTTTCTGAATTTCTTTACACATTTTAAAATATTTAAGGCATATCATATTTTTCATATTGTCTGGATTTCCAATGAAATTTTATAATCCAAAAGCATTGATTTCAAAAAGTGAATCACACACCTCTCTCTTTCTTGTTGAGTTCCTTTATCACTTCCATTGTTAATTAGAGCAAGTTCATCCAGTAAGGATGTTGATTCTTTCGTAAACTTTTCAAATACCTAAATAAGAGTCAGGTTTTAATTTAAGAAATTAAAATCATATCATGTGGCAGTATTGAAGTGCAAATTTATCCACTAGTTCATCTTTACATGGTGTAATTATTTCCCAGCATTCAGACAGTAGGGTCAAAAGAGTAGAAAAAAGTAAGGTTTGTTCAAGGAACACTTAGGAGCACTAGGATTGCCTAAGGAGACAGTAAACATTACACTGAATACAAGAAAGATAGACTGAATTCTGAAATACTGAAAATTCTGAGACTCCTGCAAAACCTATAAGCAAATCTTAAGAATAATGTTAGAGAATCAAGGCGTGCTATGCCAGCATCTGACAGCTCACTTGAACAAAATAAAATCATCAACTTTGCGAAGAGTGCAGCTCTTAATCACTACTAATATGGCTATATTGTGATGAATAAGTAAGATGGAAGAAAGATGTATTATATAAAAAGAAATATCCTAATCAGTTTCTTTGAATATAGGGCCATCTGATTTCAGATAACAAGGCCTGTATAGCCAATGAGTACCTCTCAGATGATTCCTTTGTACCAGATTTGAGGGTTAATTTTTTGGTTTCGCTTTTTTAACAGAACTGAGCATGAACCAATACCATGAATGACATACATAATAGCTTTCAAGGTCGTTTTGGCGTTAAAAAGTGACTAATCAATAGCCTGCAGATCAACCTCTCAATCTATTTAGGACTACTTAAATGTCAGGGTAAACTAAAAAGGATCTGCTGTGGACAGCCCTTAAAAGTGGATTTATAAGAAATCTAAATTCAGCTGTTACAAAAAGGGAAAAAAAAATTAAAAAAAAAAAAAATCACTCAGGTTAAAATGTATTAAACAGTTGTAAATTGTATTTCAGCTAATACCTTAAACAACCTTTCTACCCTCTTGTCTAGTTTCAGAATTCAGGAGTTGCAATGGAAGAGGTTCTTCATTAATTTACAAAACAAATGAAACAAGGCAAGAGAAGAAAGACAGGAGAATGAAATTTTCAGTTGTATTCTCAACCAAAGATAAAGCTCAAGTCCCAGTTGAAGTACTGTCCTTAAAGATTTTATGAATGCAGGAATAAGTTAGTAGAAGCCACATTTGGATATACCAGACAAAAATAAAGGACAATGAAATACCAGATTTCCCTTTCCTCCCCTGTGTCCAGGTGCTCTTAGTTTCAGGCAGAGAAAAAGCAAGCTTCCTTGCCCCAATCCACACACACAAAGGCTGTGCAAAGACCGTGCAAAAAGCTGCACAGTAGAGGATGTTTTCTCTCTACCCTTGGGTCTGAACTCACAATTTGCTGAGATTCTTAAAAAGAAACATGGTACACATGGCATAAGCCCTCTAATTTCTTGAGAGGGAAGTACTGCTATGAAACTGGCTGCCAGGTATGTTTGAAGGTATGGGCAGTTGTGGTTGTGACATACTGTGGAGTACTCCTTGTCCAGAATCTCACCTGGAGATCTTAGATAGAGATACACATTTTAAGAATAGATTGCACAGGAAAGAAACACTGCTTCATTTAAAATTGTTTTGAAAATTAAAGTAACTAAAAAAAAAAAAAGTATCAGTGAATAATAGATTAAAAACATTTTGGAGTGCTACGTGCCCCAAGAGTTGATTAAACAACTAATTTCTTTTAATGATTTGCTCCTACACGTTTACTGCATCTCTGTATCTACTAGGGAAACTATACTGATAGACGTTTTAGTGTAGGACAGCTTTAAAACCTGGCTCTCAGTCCACATGAACCAACGCTTAACAGATAACCAAGGAAGATCTGCAGAGTTCCAGATATTTCCTCCTTGTTTTGGATTTAACTTAGCAGCAGCGAAACGATTTTCCTTTGTACAGACTATACCATGCACTCAGGCTCTTCTAGAACAAGGGTTTACAAGAGAGTTTCCTTAAGGAACTTGTTTGTTCAGCAAGTTGATTACATCCTCAACCCTTGAGCAAATATGGTGTTAGCTGCCATCATAAGATTATTCATGCATTTCAACTACTACACATATTAATTTTCTACATATTTAGCAGTTCCTACACAAAAATTTCATGGCTCAAGAATGAGATATTCAAAACAAGAACAAAACCAGAAAACCAACCAGCCTCTTGTTCAACCAATCCATGTGATCATAGGTGAGAGATCCTCCAAAGTCTTCTGTTAGTTGGCATGGCTCTATGTATCGAGTCAGCTTGTTAGCAGATACTAAAATAACCTGCAATAGTAAAGAAATTTTAGGTACACTTGTAAGTTATGCTATATTTTTCCCTAAGTACCAGAGAAATTGTGTTAAGTGGGCCCAGAGGCACTGAGCCGATCTTACTCTGATTCAGATATAGTGACTTTTCTTTCTTTTTTTACTGGTAAAAGTTTGAATGAAATCTAGCTCGTTGCAGTTAAAGTGGGCCCAAACCAGACAGGTAATTCTGATATCCAGTGTATATCTCATGCATAAATGTAATCTACGCTGTCATCTACACTGCATGGGAAAAATAAATGTTTATTGGGTATTTGTTTTCTTGGTGATAAATAATGCTTCTTGATCAAGTTATACACCACATAATCTATTTTTAGTGAATATAGTAGCAGGATATCATACAGCAAAGCACTTAGTATTTTTATCACTCTCTTGCAATACTTCCAGTCCCAGAGGTGAGTTTTTGCCATAAAAGTTAAGTGCTTGCATTTACTGTGCAAATACGCACAGCAAGAGTTGGATCAACCATACTCTTCCTAAGAGTAGTCAAATTCAAACCTTAGTATGCTTAAAAGCCTGAGTCATTTGCCAAGGGGAAAAATCCAGTTCATCAACTCCTCAGGATATGAAGGAAAACACAGGTCCACTGCTAGTCAGAAGACGAACTTCATCCCTTCATTTCTGAATTAGAGAAGCTCCTGGCTGAGCCTTATTCATATAAATTTAAACCAAAAGTTGACTGCACAGGTTGCTTTGATGCACAATATGCTACACCTGGAATAACTCCTGTGGAAAAATAACGAATTCTCTATGGAAGCAGACATGTTAGCAATAGAGTCAGAAAGAAGCGAGGAAAAAAAAAAACAAACCAAACAAACAAAAAAGACAATTTTGAGAACCCAGATCATGCATGTATTCTTACAGGTGGCAAGAATATTGGGAAAGAGCCAACTGGAAAGAGCCTTCTACTTCTAGTCCAGCTCTTTGGTCCTGCAGACACTGGAAGACAGAAAACCAATCCTAAACTTAAAGGTTTTCTCTTTACTATTACCTCAGGGGTTTTGTCTTCCACTAGTTCAGGATAGTTCAAGAGCTGTTTAGATCACTAAACCAATTTGATAGAGTAAAATTAACGAAAATACTATGCTCCTAAGACATATTTTGAGCCAATCAAAAGCCATTCAAGTCAACAACCCCTGGTCAGTTGTCTGTCTCCATCCTTCGAAGTTTTTCAGATGGATACGGCCCTGGGTAACCTGGTCTAATCTCTGCTTTGAGCAGTAAATTGGACTAGAGACCTGTAATCTCAGAGATGACCCTGCTTTGAGCAGGAGGTTGGACTACATAACTCTTGAGGTCCCTTCCAATTGGAATTGCTCTTTAATTTTCAACTCTTACAACTCAAGAATCCAAAGTGGTTTGACAAATGATCTAATATTTACTGTATGGGAACACCTTCCAGCAACATTCAGCAAATACAGACTACTCTCCTGTATTCTGTGTAGCTGCCATAAATGAAATTAGCTTGCAGTTTCTTCTGACTTAAGCCCCAGATAACTTTAGGTCCAAGAAAAATAGTTTGTGTTTCTTCCTTCTTTAGGCACAAATTTATATTTTAGGTGTTTTTAAAATTCTCTTTTCATCTCTAGGAGTTCATAAAAAAGGAAAAAAATTAATTTACTCAATTAGGATATTTTGGTATGGAAACTGAAGTAACTAGGGCAGCTGGTTCACATCACTGAAATACTAGTTCTAAAAAGTAAATTGCCTGAATAAAAGGAGGGACTGCATTGAGACCATTTATTTCTGATTATTTTTTTTTTAAACTAATATCCTTCAGGAAGAATCGCAGGCAAGGGACGTGCTTTACAAATGTGCACCAGGGAAACATTTAATTTTTTTTTCTCCTGTAAAGCAAAACCTGCCTGTAACAGATACATAAGAAAATAACCCTCTGATGAAAAAAAAACCACAAAAAAACAACACCCTAAAAATGAGATTCATCAATGAACATAAATTTCTTTGCATCTGATTAGAGAGATTATGAAAAATAAAACCTTTCCACCTCAAAAGTAAGCCTTGATGTAACTCAAGACACCGCTCCAAACCCATTCATCTTCTAGGGGTTTTTGTTTGTTTTTTTTTTTTAAAGAAGTTTCTTTCTTAACCTTTTTATTGACTGTTCTTTTGCTAGACCTAAACTAGTGTCAGTGCCAATATAAAATCTTCACCATGCTTTAATTTAGTAACTTTGATATTTTTAGGTGTAAAAAGCACAATTTGCCTTCCCAAAGCTTCTGAAATACCATTTTTAGCAGCTACTATAGATTAATAGGTCATAAGAACATACACCAAGAGAAAGAAAACACATTATTTAGGGATAATTTAATAAATTTTTTTATAAAATCAAAATAACCTTTTGATAAGCTGCCAAAAAAAATACCAACCCCATGTACTGCAGTCTTGTGCTTCAACCACAAAATTCCCTTATCTCTCGTGAGACTACAGTTACTTTTTCTAGAAACACAATTCTGACCCTTGAGACAGTGTCACTAACGCCTATCTCTCACAATAAAAGCGCTTTGAGTACTGTCTGTACAAGGCTGATCTACATCACTTGATGGTTTTTACAATTATTTTCATTGATCATCTCCAATGAAGAAGCAAGTATCAAGATCAGAGGGGAATTCTGGATATTCAATAGAACATGTGCTCCCAAAACGTTAAAACACATCCATCTGAACTTTCTTTCTTGTGTGAAAAAACTAAAAAGCTCTTTAATGCAAATTTCAGAGTCAAACCTAGAAGCTACTGAAATACAGGATGCTGTAAAGTTTCAGTAACAATGCATTTTTTTTCTTTTTTTCACAGCAGCCACATTACTGAACCTAAAAAGGAGCAGTTATTTCTAAAAGAACACACATGTCCCTTGATAACAGAAAATTTTAAAAAGTAAAATCTAAGCATATGATTCTTCTGAGAGAATTAAAATGTCTATACTAATCTTTGTATCTTAGCATCAATAGTAATACATTCCAGCTCTGTGATAAATTAAAAAAGTTATCTAAAATTGAATGGTAAAATTATCAGAACAAAAACTTTATACTGGGAAATAGTTACCAAAGCAGTGTAAGGGGACTAAATCCTATTTTTAATCCCAGGAGTAATAACATCCTAAAAAAAATGAGATTTACTTTAAAAGAATAATTGGTGTCATCTCTTAGGAAAGACACAAAAAAAAAACCAAACAACCAAACAACCAAAAAAACAACCAGAAGAAAATAATATTATTAACTTGCATTTGCACAACACTGTAAACCTAAAAATACACTGAATTTCACATAACAAAAAAGTCAATTCTGACAAAGTCATTTATTAAAAAGGAGAAAATAATTCATTACAGAAATATATCTATACTGCTTATAATTTGTTAGTCTGTTTGGGGGATTTGTTTGGGGATTTTTGTTGTGGTGTTTTGGGTTTATACTTATTTATTTTTACACTTCAAGCAACCTAATATCCAACAACCAAAAAGTCAGACTAAGTTCCCAGTCCCTGTAGAGAATTCATACGAGGTATGCCCAACTTCTGCGAAGTTTGTATAGACTGAAAGTGCATTACCAACACATGCCACAGTTTCTCATTTGTCTTAAGTAACCCTTGTGATCATGTGGGTACCAAGCATGAAATTAGATGCTTCTTTAGAAAAAGAAAAAATACTAAGAATAACAGAATGCATATATTATACACAGTATTAGCTGTTTGACATTATGAAAGTGACAGAAATGCAACTAGTGACAAGAACATTTATGCATACAATAATATAAATGTTTAAATTCTGTCCCAATTTGTTACACTACAGTGGCAATGACTACAAATGTGTCTAAGAGTATATTAAGGTATTTACTCAATATGAAAAGAGTATCTGCCTCATTACTCATTTTAATAAACTAGAATAAAAATATTTAATGTATTTTTCATTTAAGTACTGCAATGTGAGAATCTGTCATTCCCAAACTTTTTTTTTTTTAAAGAACATTAATGAAACATGCTAAAAGCTGATGATACTTATTTGGTTGCTGGTTGGTAATTTCAGACAAATTAAATTTAAACGGGCATAAGCAGAAGTTCCTTTGTTCATTTCCCAAAAGTTCTGCCAAGGAACACAGGGAAGCCTAGATAGCTCTTCCCCTCTCACAGCCTGGTTGGTACGCATAAAATGTTGAATTTTTATAAAGTCCTTTAGGCTCAATATTAAAGCTGTTTTCTCAGTGGATTGATTCTTGATGATTTGTTATGCCAGCAGCTTACGCATCCAAACAGCTTTGGAAAAATACAGGGAAAGCTTCAACGCACAAGGCAGAGATTTACGAGAACAAGTCTGCACTTCAGCCTGTGCAGAAATCCAAACCAAAGAATGCCTATCTTCATTTTTCACACTACACTGAAGGCATCTGTTGCCAGAAAACCAGCAACTTTTTATTAGTATTATTATTTAATTATGTTTAAATCCTAACTGTTTTCTAAAGCACAATCAGCATTTGGTTTTGGGGGTTTGTTTGGTTGGATTTTGTGGTTGTCTTGGGGGTTTTCTGGTTTGTTTTTTTATTATTTGAAAGTTAGCTGTGCTTATTCTCCAGCAAACTGAGCTGCTGAAAAAACTTAACTACAACCTGAACTACTCTTCTGGTCATTTTTCAAGAATAACTATAGCGCCTTTAACAGACTAAACATAGCTGCCCATATATCTGGTCTGATAGCGACTCATTGCCATGGAACTGTAAAGCAAAGATTTCCTCTTCCTGAGGAGAATAATCCTATTGTTTGATGATAAATATTATTTTAATCCAGTTTTGAAATGCTGTTTGATTAAACACTGAGTAGGATAGAGTGTTATTTGTTAATATGGAACACTAATCTATACAATGATCATTTACTTTAATATTACATCAAGAAACACAAGCTACATATTTACGTGGCCAGTATCACACAGAAATCTGGCATACTGGAAACCTAAG